ACTAACCATTTTTACCTACACGAGTGACTATAACCCGGGCCTCCGAGGCCCGTTTTAAGAATACATGGTTATTCGATAGCTGCGATGCTTTTATGTCTGTCTTATGTATAGAATTTTATGATTTTCATACTTCGTCTATTATAATTGAGGTCCCAAATTCTATTCCCACCCATAAACTGCCCCTCCTCCCCCTCTAAATCTCCCCCTCCTCTCCGCAGTCCCCTCAGATGTAGGAGCCTCTCGTTATAAACACATTTTTATATATTTTTTGATATTTTGAGTAAGTTACATTGAAGAAACATTATCACCACTATAAGTATACTTGAATTTGAGAGAGAGGGGGCAACCTTACCCCCCTTACCCCCTCCCTCTCCTTCCGGTAGCCAAAAAATTAGTACTTTTCGATGTGTTTCTTTCAAAGTTTTGAACCTAGAAAGTTATTTTTTAATTTCGTGAAAAGAAAAGAAAAGTATAAAATATGTTGTTGTACTACTACTACGAATAAGTCGCTCTCATAGCGCTTCTGTGCACTCTGTGACACCCAACCGCCACTGACAGCGATCTTGCCAGAGCTCCTCCGGCAGAGCGCATCTCCTCATTTCCAGCCTTATTCCTTCAATCCATAATTGGCAGGGCGTCCTCTACGTTGGCGTTCATAGGCCGTTTTGTATTTGTTATTTATGGGATGCTTCTACATTATTTCAAATTTTTCAACAAGTTAGAGCATATTTACCTACGACTTACCTACTTATTAATATTACAATTTTCGAAAATTTTGAAATAATGTAGAAGCATCCCATAAATAACAACAATACAAAACGGCCTATGAACGCCAACGTAGAGGACGCCCTGCCAAATTATGGATTGAAGGAATAAGGCTGGAAATGAGGAGATGCGCTCTGCTGGAGGAGCTCTGGCAAGATCGCTGTCAGTGGAGGTTGGGTGTCGCAGAGCGCACAGAAGCGCAATGAGGGTGACTTATTGGTAGTAGCAGTAGTACAACAACACATTTTAGACTTTCCTTTTCTTTTCACGAAATTAAAAAATAAGTGCAAAACTTTGAAAGAAACATATCGGAAAGTACTAATTTTTTGGCTACCGGAAGGAGGGGGGGTAAGGGGGTAAGGTTGCCCCCTCCCTCTCAAATTCAAGTATGCTGATAGTGGTGATAATGTTTCTTCTATGTAACTTACTCAAAATATCAAAAAATATATAAAAATGTGTTTATAACGAGAGGCTCCTACATCTGAGTGGACTGCGGAGAGGAGGGGGAGATTTAGAGGGGGAGGAGGGGCAGTTTATGGGTGGTAATAGAATTTGGGACCTCAATTATAATAGACGAAGTATAAAAATCATAAAATTCTATACATAAGACAGACAAAAAAGCATCGCAGCTATCGAATAACCATGTATTCTCAAAACGGGCCTCGCAGGCCCGGGTTAATCATTCTAGGGGTAGACTCGAAAAAAAAATACCGTGCCTAAAAAAAATTGAAAATATTTTTTCAGGAAATATGTTCTTAAGGGTTTTTATAGAACTCTTTGTGAAGGATAGACTTCTCGGATAATTACAGCTGCCGTGGCGTGAAAAATAAGAAGGAGCCGGGTCTCGTAGACCCGGTTCGTCATCTAAGGGTTAACTTACTCCTTATGAGGATAGAAAGAACAACTTTATCGGCCCGAAACATTAACAGAGAAAAGACAACAAAGTCTCACAATAACAACGGTGAGGCTCATAGTGTCCTTTCTTTTAATTTTTTCTTGTTTTGCCGGTTGGAATTGCGGGTGTGATCCTTGCGAAACGTCCGGGGTTTCTTAATTTATTTTATGTGTTTCTCATTATTTTTTGCGGCCTTAGTCCCGTTTTAAGTTGTTTTTCTTTATGATGCTGGTTGTGCGCAAGGATGGTTTGAATCCCTTGTAGAAACTAGCCAAAACATGAAAAGTAAAGATTTCATTTAACTGTTACACTGTTTACAATAATTAGCTCAGACCGCGGGCTATATAAGGAAGTCTTTCAGAAATGACTCATCGCTCAGGGCTAATATTTTCCGAGTTAAAAATCTCCGACATAAGTATGAAAATGTTGAGCTAAAGTAACTCAGCATTAGCTCAGGCGCGAATACAGGCTGAGCTGATGGCGACTGCCTTCCCCTACCCATCCGTCCAGTACCCCACTCCGTATCCTACCCTTCCCTGCCGCCCCTCCCCAACCCTCCTCCCACTGCTCTCCCCTTCCCCGTTCCCTTCCCTCATTTTTTCCCTCGTATGTCCGCCTACCTATAATTGTAACATAAGAGTTTTTTTTTGTTGAAAAATGTGAAATTTTGCACCAAATAAATTCACGTTTAAAGAATTTTCAGGACATACTCCACAAATTCCGAGCCGAAGTGTTTCTATGAGTTGCAAACACGACGGAAAACCGAAATTTGTCATCGTTGATTGGCCTATCTCCAGGAATATCGAAAACTTCAGTACCTAAGATTTATAGACAAGAAGTATTTTGTGAACCCCCGTTCAGGCCATTCAATATTTCATTCTGAGCTTGCAAAATCAGTATGTACTATAATTCTAACAATAATGGACGCCATACTCATAAAATCAGGCTTTGATGCCTAAAAGTATCATACGAACTAAAAAAATAAATGGCAATTTCATAGATTTCTACTGCAAAATTGTATTTAATACACCAGAGGTTTTTCGGCATACGGTGCCATCTCCAGACGCATAACGAACATTCACCAAGGAAACTACAGATACTTGCCAAAAAGGTACAACTAAAAGTAAATTATACATTAACCGGAGCAACATGGTGGTTTTAGATAAAGAATAATCTATATAAACTACCATGCACATGCAAATCAACAAGGAATGAGGAATGAAGCGATAGAAGAGAAAAAGATACAATTTTGCAGTATAAAGGTACCTACGAAAATTGTATTTTTTCTCTTGAACCTAGTATTATACTACTGCTTATGCCTTCACCGGCATTTTAAAGTTCCTAGAGATAGGCTATTCTACTAGGACGTATTTTTATTTTCCGTCGTATCAGCAACTCCGCGAAAACTTTGGTATGGGATGGGATCCATGGGGTATTATCCTGGAAAGCCTTCAAACAAAATTTAATTTTTCGTACACCCTCACGAGTCGCAATTAATCATTGTTCACGCTAAAGCCACTGGCTGGAAACTGACGCCGTCGCAGTCGTGAATTCGAGAATAAGATTGTAACGGTCGATGCGCGTTGATGATGCGCAAAATATTATAGCTCTATTTCTTCTTAAGTATCTCAAATCTGAGTGGAAAGTATCTCTTCCGAGCCAATATCTGTCATTTCTGGAGTGATACATGCCACAAGGAGCTTCCCATGCCAGAGCAAGCTATCTCATTCACCGCGAGATTTTGTCACTCGATGCTCCAGGCAGGATGGCTCCGAAATATTTCACTCCGACCACTCAGGCCAGAATCTTTTTTAACAGTGTAGAAAGAGCTTGATGCAAAAACGGCTTTTTTCGCCCCCCCTCTGGAAGTTCTTCAGACTTTGTCTATTGATTACTCATACTTGAGCGCTTCTTTTCCAAAATTTTCAGACCCCCAAAAAATTTTGGGGGGGAGCTACGGGGGGTGGAAGTCAAAATCTGTGAACCTCGATATCTCTTGAACAAAGAAAGATATCGAGGTCCAGTTTGGACGAAAAATCGTCTAAAATTGCAAGGTTTAAGATTCTAAAGGTTGAAATCCCGATATCACATTTTAAAGTTAACATATGTGCTTTTTTCCAGTTTTTAGATCTAGAAAATTTCTTTTAACGAATAATTTACTAAGATCTCAATTTTTTATTTGAACCGAGACCAGTTTTGTAAAGTGTTCGTCTTTTCCCGCATCCAACGAGTGGTCCATTAAGCTGGGGAACCAAACGGTTCCGGAGTTATGATCGATTGAAGTTTCCGCTCAACGCGCGCCGACTGATTTTCGCGCGCCAAAAAGTCGGATTTGACTGTTATTAGATCAGATTGAATGTTCAAACTGAGCAAAATGCTTTATTAGGGACTTTTGGGGGTCGCTGAGTTCAGAAATTACCGATACTTCCAAAAAATTCACGTTTTTAAAATTGCTGCTTCGGACAGGACCACTGAGCGGCCGGTCGGCGCTCAGTGGGCCTCTAAAATAGCGCTGCGGAGCTGTAATTTTAAGAACGTAAATTATTTGGAAGTATCGGTAATTTCTGAACTCAGCTACCCCCAAGAGTCCCTAATAAAGCATTTTGCTCAGTTTGAACATTCAATCTGATCTAATAACAGTCAAATCCGACTTTTTTGCGCGCGAAAATCGGTCGGCGCGCGTTGAGCGGAAACTTCAATCGATCATAACTCCGGAACCGTTTGGTTTTCCAGCTTAATGGACCACTCGTTGGATGCGAAAAAAGACGAACAATTTGAAAAACTGGTTTTGGTTCAAATAAAAAATTGAGATCTTTGTAAATTTTTCGTTTAAAAGAAATTTTCTCGACCTAAAAACTGGAAAAAAGCACATATGTTAACTTAAAAATGTGATATCGGGATTTCGACCTTTAATCTTAAAGCATGCAATTTTAGACGATTTTTCGTCCAAACCGGACTCCGATATCTTTCTTTGTTCAAGAGATATAGAGGTTCACAGGTTTTGACTTCCACCCCCCCTAGCTCCTCCCCCCCCCCAAATTTTTTGGGGGTCTGAAAATTTGGGAAAAGAAGCGCTCAAGTATGAGTAATCAATAGACAAAGTCTGAAGAACTTCCAGAGGGGGGGGGGGCGAAAAGAGCCGTTTTTGCATCAAGCTCTTTGGTGGCACGTCATAATCTACTTATATGAAAAAAGTCAAATAAATAAACTGTCCGAGTGTTGGTTTTTGTACAATTTTTGAGGGACGATAAGTACGTACCTTGAGATTTTAAAGTATATTTGCGTATGTTAAAAAATTCAAAAACTCTGGTGGTATCTGGTGTATCATTTTTTGTTTCAGGCCGATTTATCCTGTAGGAACACCACTCAGACTGTTGGTGCCATATTTACGCGGACGAATTTTGTTACATTAAAATATGTAACCGATAATTGGGGAACTGCCTCTAATGGATTCAAGTTAGTTATCACTGCCGTCAAAGATCCAAGTGAGTTAACTCGTAAATTCATCGTTTCAATTGACTTAATGTTAAATTCACAAAAGCTTACTTGTGTCACAGAATTCTTAGGTATCTTACTTACGTTGCCAATTAGTGAACAACCTTGAGTTTTTTGCAGATGTATGTGGTACATTGATGCTTGGACAACTAGGGTGATGCTACACTCAACTGGCTGACAACATCAGAAAAGTGTGTTAATTTGATTACGATTTTCAATTTCAGAGCATGCGTGCAAGGATTTTCGATGTTACATGCAAGAATTTTGTATAGCGACGGACCTCGTTTGCGATCAGATAGACCACTGCGGCGATGGCTCCGATGAATTTGTTGGTCCTCACTGCGTATGTAAGTTATCGTCACTTTTATAATATTTTGTAACCTCGTGTTCATAATTGAAAAGGATGATATTAAAAACAATTATCTGAAAGGAAAGTGCCAGCTCAATGGGTCTGTTGCAATGATTACGGAATGATGTTCTGAGAGTTTAAGCGTGCGGATCAGTGATAAAAATAAGATCTGAACAAACGCCAAAATTCTACGTCTAATATTAACGGGTATGTTATCGCTCACTGAAAACCACAGCGTACGACCTCATCTACCATATTGGTACATACCATGGTTTCTTCAATTTAGGTTTCCACAATCTGTGATTCATATACATTTCCAATGGTTCCCACTTGTAAAACTTGGATGAAACTGAGGTTAAAGAAACGATGGTATAGGTATTTTGCCACCGTCGTGAATGGCGTAGGTAATATGCTGTACTTTTTGTGTGGCGAAATCTACTTTGATACTGAATGTAGCATTTTTGACGTTTAGACAGATTGCATTAATGGTTGCTAATCTAAAGGCTTAAAAATTGCATAAATTACAATTCAAAAGGAGTAGTTTGGCCCACAGGATTCCGGAACTAAATACTTATCGCATTGGAAGGCTGTAAAAGAACGTTTAGGAAATGAAGGAAGATGATGGTGCTGTATCAGTTAGGAGGGGATGGAAAAGAGGGAGGGTAGAACGCCGTAGAGTCTGGGATGGATCTCAAGCCTCCTAAATTTTAATTTCCAGTAACGCTTAGTTCTGGTTTTCTACCGGGCAACTTTTTCATAATTTTTGCGGCAACCAACCAGCAATTGTCTCTAAATGATCTTGCTCTATTTAGATTTTGAAAATTTGACCCAGGTCTTTGTATATGACCTGGTAAAGTTTCATACTCTCCCATTTAAACGACATACATTTTTATTTTTTGTTTCAGTTCATTTGAGCCTTCTACTGGGCCAATTTTCATTATTTTTTCAGCTATTGACAGGTCACAATCTTTAGATGAGCCCGCTGTAATCAGACTCATCAATCAGATCACATCCATCCCTCGTGCATTAAAAAGCTACGCAAATTTCAACATGACCGACGTCAACCCGCCAAAACACACGCGATGAGACGGGATTTTACTATCCGGAATGATTATATTTACACATTATTTCCGCTGATACAGACTGTAGTAATTCTTAATGATTTGCTCGTGGAAACGTCAGCCATGATGAATATTGTGTACCATTGTAATGTGCAAAGGTTGGATGGGACGAATCATCTCGCGAGACCTTGACCTGAGCTGGAGTATAGTTTTTGAAGCGGGAGAATTAAAGAAATTGCTTTTTTTTGCGGGAAGTGTTTTTTAGAATTTCTTAATGCGCTCATCGTTATTTTTGAGCCATTTTTTGTAAGAGATAACTCTCTCTTTTGCTCAAGCTGAAGTTTGCAACAGGCTCTTTAAAAAAAACTGCATGTGTTTTTAAAATAATCATATGTTTCGAAACCGAACTGAAAAAAAGGATCGCTAATTCACCGATTTAGGGTCGAGCAAAATTTGCTTCACTTCGTAAAGCTTTCTTATATCCGTGCACGGTGTTGAATCAAGTGAATGACTAGCACGAATTGCTACACCGATTTGCTACATCTGCGCGCCTTCATGCAGTTAATCTTGCATCGAGTGGCTTGGAAGTAAAACTGCATTTTTTGGTATTGGTACTTTGTGAACAGTAAAAATAGCTCAATAGTTAGGCTGAAATAGCGGAATTTACGGAGAAATAGCGAAATTTACGGAAGTATAACTAAAAAGGTAACAGACGTAGCTTTTCAAAGAGCAAAATCACCTACAGGCGTGTGTGTAAGTTAGCTGAAATTTGTGTAGCGATTTTACCTGCATGGTTTGCACGTTCGTTTTTTTAGCTACACCATGCCATGAAATACCCGCGTGCACGGCATTTTCAGCAATATTTTTTTTCAGTGCGGATTTCAGGGTCGCAACGTGTTAGATCTTTTTGAAACTAACGCTAAATCAATAAAGATTCGATGTTAAATATAATAATTGAAGTCATCGAAATGACGTCGGTCCGCCATTTTAGGTTATCCGCTCAGCACGACGTAAACTTAAGTAAACAAAAGGTGTCATCTTGTCAGCAAAATCAGTCAGTGACTCAGCGGGCCTCGGACCCTAACTGAGCGCTGACAAGATTCCTCTTTTGTTTACAAAATGACCGGTCTTCAGATAACTCCAAAATCGTTTAACAATATTTCCGCTGAGCTCGGCGAATCATCGTCCTTTGCAATGTAGACTTTAACAACACGTCTAAAATAGTCTTTAGTTGCATGAGAATAATCAAGGCTGGACGAAGTTGAAACTTTTCAAGTTGGATTGGAATGATGACGGATTAGGATACGATGGAAATTATGGAGTGTTTGAGCGAATCGGGTAGTAATATGGGGATGTTGTTGTTTTTTTTTCCAGCGGACGAGTACCGGCAGATCTTGGGGATGAGCCTGAGCTACGTCATCACAGTGTTGGTGTGTGTGCTGGTCATCCTGCTCGTATGCATCGGGGCGTGCTTCTGCATGGGCTGGCTTGGCCTTTGCCACTGCCCCAACCGCCGCAGCCGGCAACCCGACCCCAACCGCTCCGCTCTTGCTCCACAGACCACCATTACTCCTCACTACCCAAGTGAGTTTTCACACCAGCACCAATACATTATAGACTTCGACAACATTCGAATTTCAGAATTTTCATGCTACCTCTTCAAAATTTCGAAATGAAATTGCTGATTCAACAATTTTGTTGGTTAAAAAAGTGTTCAACATGCTTCTATGAAGATATTACAATAGGAAATGCCACTTTAACCACCCCTGTGGTTGGATTAGCTTCCATTTATTGTAAAATGTACATTTAAAACATGTCGGACATATTTTGTAACAATTTAATTGTTAAAGCAGTAATCCATTTTTTCTGTGCACGTACATACAATTAGTTCGGACTATTTATGTTGAAAGAAACTACGTGCGTTGAACGCAAACATATAGCGTCAGCGATAAGTCCCCAAGCCCCCCCCCCCCTCTTCTAACTTTTGAACCTATGCATGTATCAAAACGAAATTTTGAGGATGCCTCTAGATCAATAAGATTTGTATACTTTTTGGCATACCCAACATTTTGGGGAAGCGCCTCTCCCGCGAGGGGCGCACACTAAGTCGAAATTTTCCAATGGTAACCCCCCTTTTGTGATACACCTTTGGAAAGTTAATAAAAAAAGGTAAGGATTCCGACGATTTTTTCCTGAAAGTACACCCAACGCTCAAAATTTCGCTGCCTTGTTTGCCTTTCTGCACCTCTCTGAACCGGAGTTATGATTTTTTGAAAACCGGCCTATTTTGAACTTTGACCGAGGATAAATGGAGACCATAAAGTCGTAGCGAGCTCCGGTTTGGGCGAAAATTTTTCTTTTTTTATGAACTTCCCAACGATGTATCACAAAAGGGGAGTTACCATTCGAAAATTTCGAGTGAGTGTGCGCCCCTCGCGGGAGGGGCGCTTTCCCGAAATGTTGAATATACAGGTACTTAACTTTCAGGATCGCTTTTTCGGCTCAAAATAAGACTTTTTTCCCTTTACACATATGCCCGAAAACGCTTCATACGTGAGCTATGCGCTTCCAAAATTGCCATTTTTTTTCGTTCAAATTAATATAGCTCCTCGTCATTTTTTCATAGGTGGCTGAAACTTTGAATAGGGAGGTATTTTTTAGCGCTCTATTCATTTTTTGTATTTTCAAGGACGTACGTCTTCGAAAAATGACGTCACAAGCTTTCCCGAATTTGAAAATTGCGATAACTTTTTTGGTAGATGATATTTCGAAAAACGGATTACGGCGAGTGAAAGAGCGTAAAAAAATCAGGGGGTCAGGGTACTGCACAAAATTTTCCAGAAACGCGTTATTTCGTCGCAAAAGAACTTTGAAAAATTTTAAGATTTTCAAAGCCCCTTGCTGTGTAGGCAATTTTTACTGCAAGGATTGAAAAATTGCCTAGAGAGCAAGGGGCTTCAAAAATCTTAAAATTTTTCAAAGTTCTTTTGCGACGAAATAACGCGTTTCTGGAAAATTTTGTGCAGTACCCTGACCCCCTGATTTTTTTACGCTCTTTCACTCGCCGTAATCCGTTTTTCGAAATATCATCTACCAAAAAAGTTATCGCAATTTTCAAATTCGGGAAAGCTTGTGACGTCATTTTTCGAAGACGTACGTCCTTGAAAATACAAAAAATGAATAGAGCGCTAAAAAATACCTCCCTATACAAAGTTTCAGCCACCTATGAAAAAATGACGAGGAGCTATATTAATTTGAACGAAAAAAAATGGCAATTTTGGAAGCGCATAGCTCACGTATGAAGCGTTTTCGGGCATATGTGTAAAGGGAAAAAAGTCTTATTTTGAGCCGAAAAAGCGATTCTGAAAGTTAAGTACGTTAACTTCCGGACACCCTGTAGATCTTACTGATCTAGAAGCGTCCCCAAAATTTCGTCTTGATACGTGCATGCTTTTAAAAGTTAGAGGGAGGGGGGACTTTTCGCTAAACCTGCAAATCCTTTCACACACAGTTGCCTTTGACATTCATACGTCCATTTGGTTGACAAAAAATAATTAAATTAAGTCCCGTCCTAGATATTAACATTTTTATTTTCTCAGCGTGGGTCTTGAAAAATTTGAATATCCGGCAAACAAAAAAATAATAGTGTACTCGAATCAAATCGCGCACCCAACTTTTTTGCCAAACTTCTTCCCCAGCTTGTGTTGTGTCAAGTGTGAAAAACGTGCAATAGCTAAGCCGAAGCTCCGAGATTGAGGTTGTCATATTTCATCGAGCAGTGACTGTCACGGTAACGTATGGAGTGTGATTTAACTCAGTCTGAGAATTGGTTCTTTTCATGAACAGGAACTTTAAATTTTGGCATGGAAAAACGTCAATATCTTGGCATAGAGTTACTTACAATAATATTCGTCACCTAAATCATGTTTCACGTGAAATTTTAATGACCATATATTTATAGAGATGCTTAAATTCGCATCTTGTCTAGAGGTCATCCCGATTTGAATTCAACTAACATTCCTACTCTAAATAGGTTACCCGCACTGTGGACGAATGGGCGGAAATGGAGCACTGGGATGTTTGCTTAGGGTTTCCGAAGATAACTCGATCCTCCACCCAAAAAATAAGAGGAATTTTGCTACGTTCGTGACGTATCATTCATCTTTGAGATTGAAACCCGATCGAGTTTTTCGTGAAAATAGCTAAAAATTGCTCTGCAGTCGACTCAACTTCTAAAAATTCACGAAAGTGGCTCCCCGGATCCACCTTCGGAGCAAGGAAAATCCCTTGAGTCATGTTATGGAGCTGAGGAACTCGCGCCAAACTTCCTTGGTGGGGTGTTGTAGTGCCTTCGTACCTTCTTTAGTAAGGTTTTCTTTGGCCCCTTCGAAGAGTTCCTAGTTCTTTTTAAGCACACACGCTTGCGCCTTATTGCATCACGACTTTGACGGCCGATTTTGCCAAATAAAATCTTGCACCATTTTAATTTAAATATAACCCTTCGAAAAAATACTTTAGTTTACGGTGGCGAAATTTTTAGCACTGCCATTTTGACGAGTTTTGTTGACATATTGGATTTTGAGATCATCACATGAATAAGTCACCAGTAGTTTAGTCCATTTGTCTGCGCATAGATGCTGTTCGGTTATTTGGCAACATCGCGCTTAATACTGCAGTTAAACACCTTCAATACCACTTTCTCGAAACTAAATTTTACAATTGCAAACCTGGAATCACCATAATCCAGTTTGATTAGTCTTTTACGACCGTCTTCTGCCCTAAATCATTCGCAGACGTACATTATTACATTAAAAATATAACATCATACATTCATACATTATTATATACATATTACATTACATCACTCTACGTCATTACATACATTATTTATTATTAATGACTACTTTATTATTTACATTATGTTATAAAAAACCTATATATCTGTTCAATGTACTGTACCAGAGAAGAAGGGGTCAATTACGCCAGTCACGGAATCGTATTTTGATTGTTTAATAGACTGGCCAAAAACGAAAAGTTCTGTTCAAATGTTGTACGCCCAATATAAACGGAGATATCGCTAATAACATCAGACGGCGCGGTTGAGCATGCTATGGTTTCCTCCATCCTGGTTGCATCAATCAGTGAGACTTACGTTAGCAGAGGTAGCCTAACGTAGGATACAGAGGAAACCAAGAAGAAGAAAGCCATGGTATGCTCTACCGCGATGGATGACATGAATCATCGGGATTTTCTTTTAACGATATCTTCATTATCATTGGACGCAGAAACATGCGTTTGATCAGAGCTTATTATTTTCTGCTATCCTGTAACTTTACACAACTGGAAAACGATTCTATAACTAACATACCTGACATTGTAAGAATATTAAGAACTCAGCTCATCACATACTTCTGTATGAAACAATATAGTTTCTTCGCGCAACTTTTACACAATATGATATACATATGTATCATACAGTGTTTATATTCCAAGGTTGCTTCTAATTTAATTTTATTTTCTTTCCTTTAAATGTTTGAATAGTTGAGATGGTGGAACACGGATCAAACGGCATCAGTGGTACAACAATTATTCCCATGTCGGGAAACTTTCGCCACCCTGCGGGCTGACTGCTCGGGTACAGCGTGGACCCGGCCCGCCTTTACTCCAGCCACAGTCGGGTCGCCATGGCTCTGACAGGTGACTTACCACCAAACTCTCTCATTTTCATCTTTCCAACAGCACGCGAGTAATCATCACGTATCACTCGCTGAATCCATACGTGGTCGTGTTATACGTATTAGGTTATATGTACCTAACCTGTGTTAAAAGCCGTCACCGTGCGACTGCAGCGAACCTGGAAGAGGATGCGAAGAACTAACTCTGCAGTGGTGCACGGTCTTAGGTAGAATTCCAAATAATGCTCGCTCGGAATTAAAGGACCTCACGACAAAAATTAACGACAGGATACTAGCGATACTCCAGAAATCATCATTGAAAGTCATATTGATCGCTGGAAACGAGCATTCCAAAAGTGTAAATACGATTTTTGACCAGACAGCCTGAACCTAACCTATGCATGGTGTATGCATTAACATTAGAGTATTTTCATAGGAAGAGTATGGCCATTGGGCACTATGAGGGTGAGTAGAGCTCAAAGATGGCGGCGCTTTGTTTTGGTTTTTGAGCATGGGTGGGGGGCAGCATTGCCAAATTTTGACGGTAATCACCAACCGCACTTTTTGGCGCCCTTACTACATCAAAGATGATTTTACTCGAGAATCGGATACGAATAGCCGTAAAACTATGTAATAACTCGTTTGAATAAAGTTTTTTGCAAATAAAACTGCATTATGCGTCATTTTGTATTTGCATTTTCTTACAGCGTCCGCTATTTTTTGGCCCTAGAGGCTTCATTCAGCTTAAGATGACTGAGCTAATTATAGGTGGTAACCACCATGGCCATATTCTGCGTATCAAGGTACTCTGATTAACATAAAACCAGGAAACCCATTTTACGGTTTAGTTCAGTAGACCTTCTACCAGGCACCGTCAGCGTCACAGTTGCAAGAGATTCCGTCCAATGAAAATGAAACCAGTGTCGCAGCTAACTAGAGTTGGAGCTCCTTATTTGTTCTTTTGGTCCACGCTTAAAGTTAAAATGTTAAGGTGATGGTCATGAATAGGTACCCTGGTACCGATCTCATTTACCCATGGATGAATTTCTGAGTAGGGTGACAGACGATATCTTTGAAGAAAACGACCTGATGCATGAAATGTTTCATGGTAGAGGAGCATCCTTCACGATTATTTTCACTAAAAAAAGATGGAAAATAGTTTGCCTTAATTTTGATTGGGCCGGTGTAACCATGGTAATTCTTGTGCTGAGGGTTGATTCTTCAGAATCGATCTGAATCGGCCGCGTGGAGAGAAAAATAAAATGGATACAATGATCGGGTCTACAGAATCGGTCCTCTGAAGGATCCATTCAATGATTACGACTCTTCATGCCGATCTAAAAGGAGGGGTTGCGATTTGGGCCGAAATCGTCCTTCCTACACGAAGTCAGGAAATTTTTGGATGTTTGGCAGTTGACGATGCATTCAACAGAAATAGTTGAGTTTTGCCGATATTCACATTTTTTGGCTGCGAGAAGTGGCTCCGGAGCCCTAAATGGCTAAACATCGAGTTTTTCGCGGTTCTACCTTCAATTTCAACCTCCGCCCGCGGGTGACGGGTCTCGAGCTCCGATTTTGATGCGAGGGACACCTACACACGTAACATACTGGGATATGATCAATCGTCGCTCTCGGGCCCAAGTTAAGCCCAAAACAGCTGAAAATAATCCATGTTTTCAACGGTTTTACTTCAGATTTCGATCTGGGCCCAGAGGTAACAGGTCTTGAGCTTCGAATATGATAAAAAGGACATATAGATACGAAAAATACTGATCAACCGCCACCTTCGGGCCCTGGTCGAAATCTAAGTCAGAATCGTGAAATACTCGATAATTCAGCTGTTTTGGGCCAAAAAGTTACAAAAATTCGATTTTGAACTTCGCTATGAAGGCGACGGTCGTTCATATTCCAGCTTATTACCTGTCTAGCTTTCCCTCACATCATATCGAAGCTGACCCGTCAGCTTTGGGCCGAGGTCGATTGCGGAGGTAGAACCGCGGAAAGTTCGATTTTTTAACTAATTTAGGCTCAGGAGTCACGTTTAGGTCCCTGTTTTGCAGCCAAAAAATGTAAGTATCGGCAAAACTCGACTAACTCATTTAAAAATGCTTCATAAACTGCCAAACCTCCAAAATTTTCCCGATTCCGTGCAGAGAAGACAATTTCGGCCCATTTTTTCTTCATTTCATTTCACAAAATAAACTGTACAAAACTGCACTTTCAGACATTTGAAATGTCTGTAAAAGCTTTAACTGTTAATATATGGCTAAACACTAATTAAAATAGTACTAGCGAGTGACTGTTGGCTTTTTTTGCTACTACAGAAACTTCAAGTACTTCATCGAATACGATGTTTTTTGTACGTCTATCTTCAGGGACAATTTCAACTTTTGCTTTTTCATGAGACGTAGCCCTCGAGAGTGCAACGTAAAGTTACCCATGGGTGAATGCAAGCTGTGGCAGGTAAATGCCAACACGATCGAATGTTTGACTCTGGGCTTTACTGATGGTATAATACTCTACCGGAAGAATAAGTTATATTGATTTCAGAGACATTTTGACACGTTGGTCGTGCAAATCGAAAAACCAAGGGGTGCTGGCACATCTAGAGCCTAAGAGCTTTCATTTTACACATTCGAGGAAAATCGGTCCAGTAGTTTTGGAGATCGAATTGGCACAAACTGTTCAAACTGAAGGAGGTTAAAAAGAGCCTTAGGATATCGTTAATGTAAACTTCGAAGGATTCAGACTTTCAGCGATTCTACCTTTTTCTATTTCACTCGAGAGGTTGCCAGATTGTGCGATAAATGTCAATATTTTACATGGATTTGAATTGGGAAAAGTGCTAAAAAAGCAACTTACCCGGCAACAATAGAGTCCGGGAGGGACGAGAGGCTGCCTACCAGGAAAACCCATGATTTAGCCGGAAATGTCATTAAAACAATTGATTCCGTTTGAAGCATCCATTTATTGTATACTAGGGGAAAGCTCTTTTAAAATAATTGTAAATGGACTAAGATGCTACAAAAAAGGAAAAAGGAAAGGGAAAGGAAATGAAATGAGGATATGATTACTAATTATGCAATCAGAGAGAATAAAACAAAAACATCAGAGAAATTTATATGCGATGAAAATATAAGAAAAAAACACGAGTGGGCTCATTGCGACTCGGAACTCGAACTATACTATCGTTGAGCAGTTTTTAGACCCCTACGCCACCGATAATCTTCTTAAGAGGTAAAGATGAACTTTTGCTACTTCAGCGAGTCAAATCGCGGAAGGAGATCCATAGATTGTCTTTTTCCGCCGCTCAATGGGATGGAGTCCCAGTCAAATACGTTTTTGAAGAAATTATCGATCCCCATCATCGCTTCATCTCCACACATCTATTCATGTGCAAATGATGGCACGCTCCGGCAACAAGGTTCTGTGACGAAATCATTTTTGCCTCCAGAGTCTCCAAAATGTATACATCTTAGTGATCAAACGTCCAATCACTGAGAAAAATGGCTCGCGGAGCGAGNTTTGCCGATATTCACATTTTTTGGCTGCGAGAAGTGGCTCCGGAGCCCTAAATGGCTAAAAATCGAGTTTTTCGCGGTTCTACCTTCAATTTCAACCTCCGCCCGCGGGTGACGGGTTATGAGCTCCGATTTTGATGCGAGGGACACCTACACACGCTACTTCAGCGAGTCAAATTGCGGAAGGAGATCCATAGATTGTCTTTTTCCGCCACTCAATGGGATGGCGTCCCAGTCAAATACGTTTTTGAAGAAATTATCGATCCCCTTCATCGCTTCATCTCCACACATCTATCATGTGCAAATGATGGCACGCTCCGGCAACAAGGTTCTGTGACGAAATCATTTTTGCCTCCAGAGTCTCCAAAATGTATACATCTTAGTGATCAAACGTCCAATCACTGAGAAAAATGGCTCGCNACTCGCGTAGCGAGTGACCGGGGGTCCAGGGGGCGCAGCCCCTTGGCTGGCCGTGACAGACGCGCAAAGTGCGTCCAGAATGGCTAGTTAAATATATAGTTGTTGGAGTTTTTGGCAGCTTGCGTTAAAAATACATCAGCTCATGAGCTCATTCGAGCCCAGTTTTGCACTGCACTGAGGATTGGCCCAACGAGGCCGGAACGCATCCGCAGTTGTCTTCCTGAATGGATGTAACTAGTGTTGCACCAAACAGCTTATTTTTTCGAGGGAAAACTGTGCTCAAATGTACCGTGCGTCCACCGCAATCGTTTGTGACCAATTAAAAATTTAAACTATGAAAAATGTACTACCTTTACAAAATAAGTAGAATTTTAAAACAAAATGTTTGCAAAATGAAAACGTCTTTTTGATTGATCTGATGTTTTTGGGAACCCCGATCACGTTCTAGAAGCGTGGAACGGCACGTTAGGCGTAATTATTTATGGAAACTTTGAAAAGCCTTGGACTTTAAGCGCATGGGACTTGTGACGATTTAGCCTTCGAATGCACCGGTCTCGTTCCAGGAGCATAAGCGCTTCAGGGTTGGGGTGCCGGTGTAAACGATCCTCATATGCTGTGTACATCTTGGTGATGTAGTCCTCCACTGAGTTATTGTTGACGTCCGCGCGAGTATCCGCATTCCTCTTAAACCATATAGCTTCAACAATATCTCTCAAGATCTTCATTTGCATCACTTCTTTTTTTTTTTATCAAGATTTGACTTGGCTGCACTACCCCAGGATTGGCAACCAAAGTTCAAAAAATGCCTCTAAATTGACTTGTAAAGGAGTAACTTGATGCTTTGATGTAACCGTGATTTCCGTCCGACGAGCCACTGCATATTTTAGAACTTTAGTCGCAGTTGAGCGACTGTTTTTCTTAAAGTAGATACCCCACCTGAGCCTGGCAGCCAGGTGAAGGCTGAGTTACGGCCCCTCCTTTCGAAAGTAATCAATGTAGTATACACCTAAAGTACCATGAGTATCATCCGATCCGATCCAATTCGAACCCTGATGAATCGAAAAAATCGTAACATTTGGGACCTCTCATGAGAATGAAAGGAATTTTTCCTTTGACTCATGAGTATTTCTCTATCTACCAAAGTAAAAGTCAAACTGTATTATTGAAACGTAATCAAAAGTATCGATCCTGTCATAAAATCAGCGTGTCAGAATTGATTCGATATTTTTTGAAAAAATATATGCACGATTCATCGTCAGTTGTCACAGATTTTGTATTCCCTTCATGTGCTATTCAGTTATATTAACTTCTCTGTAGATAAAAACTAATCAAATTTATAAATGATTTAATGACGTGACTTAGTATTACATTGTGTTGGAGTTTACTGCTTGTTTTTCTTCTTCTTTTAATGTAAATGCTGTTTCTTTTTCTCACAACATAGTGATCCAAAGTATTCAATCATTTTGATCACGTGCGGGTAATACCATGAAAATGTAGTGTGAGGCGTGTAATACCATAGTAATGTCTTACGAGCTCTATGGACTCTTTATTCAAAAACGTTCGTCTCGGAAAACCGAGAAATTCTTGATACAAAATCAATAAAGTCACATCCACCAACGATATCTTAATCATCCGTGCGTATTTAAACAGTTCACTTGACATGAGTATTACTCATGTATTCAACAAATATTGGTCAGAGGGTTTTTACCGTAACGGAGCCCGGGTGAAATTGTTTATCTGCTCAAATATGGTATTTTACTAACAACGCACGTAATTTCTTACAATACAGGACATCCTAAAAATAAAACCTGATTAAAACATGGTACTATGATTGTAAGTTGTGTACTCAAATCTATAGACGACAGTGTCTTCCATCGGTCTGTCCATGGTAATTCATCTCATTCCAGACGTTCCCATCTGTCTTAACACCTATGTTTTCTTTTTTTTCCAGTGACATTTCATCTAGCCAAAAAGATGAATGGTTTGTTTAGGTATGTATGTTTGTAAATGCAATGATAAATTAATCCTCTATTTATTTAGACAGAAAGGAGAATATATAGATCTTGTTTAAGGTGAATCCAGGGTTCGATTAGAGATAATTCAAGATTAGAGATAGCGCCACCAGTCACCACTGAGAATTTCACTTTCCTTCGACGATTACTGAAATAATATTGTTCAAATTACAAAAAGCAGATCCACAGGATATAAATTATTTTTTGCTTGATTTTTTGAGCCGAAAATATTGGAAATTAGAATTACAAGCGCAGAGAAAGTACGGCTGAAACTTTCAGCCCGGTGGCGGCGGCGGCCGAGCGCGCAACCGAATCCCTCATCTTCTGTCTCTCTCTCTCCCCTTCCCGCAATGGGAATTACTTTCCGCCGTAGTTACGACTTTAATTTTGGGATTTTGAGAATATTTTTTTACTGAGTGTTCCTCAAGTATGTTGCTATATCCCTTGGATCCCCAATCTTGAATAAGTATTACGGTTTTTATTATTTTGGCAAATATATGCGGCTTTTCTGAGCAGCGCGACGTGGTGGCGAAATCGCCAAGTTCCAAGCCTGGATTCACCTTAAGTCTTTTTGTTTGTTATCATTATTTTATTGGTACGTTGAATAAACATCAGAAACCTAATGGTTCGAGTGAAACGAGCAAAATTAGCGAGGTTGTCTGAACTTTAAGTTAAAATGAAATAAAAATGTATGGTGTCCCAGGACAAACATGCCAGACTTTTTTCTCGTTTGTTATGGGTCAGAACCGCGGGGTTGAATTGGGAATCGATCCAAAAAATTCCAAATTTCACATTCACAACCCCCACCCCTCTCCCAAGATTCCCTGCGGNGGGGGGGGGGGGGGGGGTTTGCTCACGATCCTTAAAGTCGTGGTTCCCGGTCGAACTAGGATTTATTTTCATTAGAGTTGGAAAATATAGAAAATTTTCCGTTAAATTGACCCCTAAAAATCCATAATCGGCCCACCCTTACACCTCGACCCTGTAACCTTCCAGCAGATTCTCTATGATCGCAATATCGACGCATATTCTCCAGAAAAAGGTGGGACCTGGTTGTGCAGGTACACACAGCTCAACTCATGATCAAAGTTGTCGTCTCTGACAGAATCAACTATGATTTTATGTGAATCCTCTCGTAGAAAACAAGAATCAGTGATGAAATGTTTGTGCAATACTGTTTATTAAGCTACGTTTGACGCATACTACTATAATGTAGGAGTAATTGAAATCCAATTGGTACAGGCCCCTTGAAGATGTCGTAATGCCGAAACATATTGGACATTACATGTATTAATGGTATAGAACTTCTTTTCTAAGTATCTTTCACCAACAACACCTTGGTAAAAGTCACACGGAAAACAAAACATTACAGTGTTGACCTAAACCAAGAAAAAAATAAATGAACTTTATCCAGTAACCCGCTTAAAAGCAAAACTTGATAATAAAAATCGTTAATCAGTGCAACGATTTAAAAAAAGAAAAAACTAACTAAAACTGAAAGATTTGTTTATTTTCGTTTCAGAGGGAAGCCGGGTCCTAAGCTCCGCAGGGTGGTCTGTTACTTGGGAATAAGAGTACCCTGCCCGATGTTCGCCATTACGTTATCATTTGCCATCACAACAAGTGGAGTTGACTGCATGTTGTCACCATAGCAATATCTAAACACAATAGAAGGAGGACCGCCCGAGGAATTGTCATCAGGAGGAATTGAATTAAGGAATTGTACCTACACCCTACTGTGTACGTGAATTGTGCTTACCAACAATAATCGGGGTACCAGGACCAGACCGTAACAGTCACACAGTAGACGAACCACAGAAAAAATATTCCCTTTGCCACTACAATTGCTTCTTCAAATGATCCAAAACTCTTTCAAGCTTCCATTTGCCTGTTTTTGTAGGGATTTTTGTCAATTTTTTTTTAATACTTTCTTAGGAGTTCCTCTAATTACGAAACAACCATGTTCAGTGTCATTAAAACGGAGTGGTAGCTAGAATCTAAATGCAACGGGGCATATTTTGTTGGCTAAAAATAAATATAACGTACGGCAACAACTTTTTTCACTTTCGCAAGGACGTTTTCTGCTAAACGGAACTGGAGACTTGTGGGAAAGATGGGGCGTCTTTTAAAATGCTGCGTAGAAACAATGCACAGGTGGACGTGAATCCTTTTGGGGAAATAGAAAAGCGGGATGAGATATTAAAACAAACGGAATTAGTTCTGCTTACCGACTGCAAAGGGCACTCCTGAAGCGTGGGCATGTGAAAAGAGCGTTGTGGACAGGGTTCGAGTTAAAGACCACGCAACTCCTGTGGATCGCTCTTATCATCGCCGCTGAGGTTACTGGCGCTCAATGATCCTCATTCATTATTACGGCCTTCAGCTAAAGAGCAGACTCTTTCTTTCAAAACCGTTTGATGGTTCCATTCAGCAGAAACAAGCTATCATACTTCCTTGTATGGTGAACTCAAAGTAATTTGCGCGTTGTACGATCCAAATTTTTTTTGGAGTAAGATTTGGAGTAAGATTTTGGATCCACAAAGGACAATACCTCCTCTCTCTCTCTATATATATATATATGTTTTAAGTACCACCACGTACCTAACAAGGCTACGGCGGATCATTTTAAGAAAATAATCTAATTGTCAGGTATGAAGTAATTTAAAATAGCTTCTTTTCCGCGATTTAGTTAGATCAGTGACTGGAGTTGTTGGCTTCAACATTAGTTCTGATTTAACGGTAATTTCGACGTGATAATGAGTTGAATTTGTTGTTCTTTGAGAGATAACGCTTCAACTTTATTGCTGTGATCGTTAAAGGCACGTAGGTATTTTTAGTGAACTCGAAACATTAAATAAGTTGTAGAAGTAAAAGGCTACTTTCAATATTTCCCTTTGCCGCACATGGAGCTCTGCGTTTATACACATTCACTTAGGCGCAGAAAATCAGAGCGGGTTTGCATTTCCTCCGTTCTTTTAGATGCAAGCGCTCGTTTTTACGTTTTTGGTTGGTTTAACTTTACTCAATTGATGAGTGCTGCACCCTCGCGAAAATAACCTTGGAGATTGGCAGTGACAGCGCGCACGGGGCAAGCCATAAGTTTTAGAGAATGTGGTTTTTGTTTGATGATGAAATTTCACCATGAAAACAGTTAAAAAATAAACATGAAGAGCAACTAATTTTAAATAATTTTCCTGGGGAAGATCCCCAGACCCCCGTTATTAGGTTTTCCCCCTATATTTGTTTCTATCTAAAGTTTCAATCCACGCATCACCACTACGTAAGAATGGTAAATAAATGTAACAAATACGGGCATTGTCCAAAGTGAGAAATTTGGATCATATTGGAACCTTATTATGCAATTAGGAACTATTTCTGGCTCATCTGTAAAAGCACCCATTTGTATAGGAAAATAATTCACACACACATACGTTGCATATTATATGGCACATGTGTGTGGCTAATATGTTGTCTTAAAATACGCCAGAAATAGTAATTTCTTGTGGCAAAATTTAGTTCATTTTTTAATAAGGGCCTGATATTTCTAGTTCATCAGTACAAGCAAATATCTGCATGAAGAAGGTAACGGATCAAATGTCGATTTGAAAATGAGTCAGAAAAAGTAGTTCCTAACTGCAATAATTGTAAAAATTTGATTCTAGTTATTTTGCAAATGGTATATGTGCCAGTTGATGTACGGAAGACTATTTTGATACATCCATCTAAAAATTTTGGGATCTCCGAGTTGTACCAATATTGAAAGAAATCCCTTTTGAGTTCTACTTTTGCATGCTTTGTTTCTGGATTCATGTTTTTCACCGAAAATGAGTAAAGTTGATGTAAAATTCCGGATATAAAAAAGTGTGCGAGAACTTATGAAACGCTGAAGTACGCGCTCCAGTAGTCATATTAGCGATGCCAAAATGTAAAACTAACTGTTGTGGCGAGTAATTCATCATTTTTTAAGTACTTGCACCCTTTTTTTTTACATCATCATGTGTAAAATCAACCTCACTTTTTTTTGGGTGTTGTTTTGTGGCATCCACTGATGAGTGCGTCTATCACGTGAACAGAGCATGTGATGTAGACAGAAAACAATTTTAGAATGTACACTAAGAAGAAATTTTTTTGGGATTCAAGGAATAGCTTCTTCATACTTTTTCTCAAGAAATAGACACTGTCAGAAGGATCTAAAAATCTGTTTCCTTACGCCGTATCCTTAATAAGGGATACTAAAAAGAATGAAATATATTTTCATGATACCTTTCAAGAAATTTGGCAGTCTCAAAACTCCTCGAAAACATGATAAGATTACTTCATTTCCTCGGTCATCCTAACTTCAATGACAATAAAACAATGACTTAGGTATTTGGTTACTGCTGTGGTGAATGGACTTATATCATTTTGTTTTTCTTTCTTAATGTGATTGCTGTGAGTGTTAGACACAAAGCTTTAATACTTATATATTTTGGACTTTTTCTACTTTACGTTTTGTTAAATTTCTAATTTTCCTCTTTTTTATTCCATGTTCTCAATAGGTAGTCGGCCCGAATTTAATATTTTTTCTTTCTGTAAATTGTAGAAATTCTGCTGAAAATGTACATCCAATTCAAAGAGTTTCGAGAAAGAAGCTAGGGAATAATCACAATTTTTAGCTCAAATTTTACGTGTTTCTAAAATAAACCTGAAATGCGAAAATGTAGAGGGAAACAACGTATCGCATTTGCAGAAATCAAAGTGCCTATCTGGCGTGATCTGACTCTTTTGTTATCTTCTGTAAATATTGTACCGACAGCTTTTCAATTGCTTCTTTTTTATATTTATGAGATCATTGTAATATTTTAGAGCAGTTTTGTGTAATAATGCTTCAATAACAGGTGCTTGTTTTAGAGGCACAGAGGGGTTGATAGCTACCACGTGTTAGTTAGGCTCCAGCCAACGAGAGAGAACTTGTTAAAGTTCTCAATGAATATTAATTATATGTGAAGTGTGCTCATTTGAAGCTCCTTTAAATGTAGTATTCCTTTTGACGAAAAATGGAACATTTGATTCTTAAAAGACGTGATTTTTCGCATTAATTTATTGTATTTTTTCATGTATTCGTGTTACTTTTTTTATTGTTTTTTTTAATTCATTCAATTAATTTTTTTCAATTTATTTTTTAATTAAACTTTTCCATACGTTGTTTCAATTTTTTCTTTTTCTTCACTTTAAATTTTTCCATTTATTGAATATAATTTTTTCCGTCTATTTATTAATTTTTTCCCATTTATTTATTTTAATTTTTTAATTATTATTTTTTTTTTCTTTTCCTAATTTTAATTTTTTTATTTTATTTGTTTTAATTGTATCCTTTATTTCGCATAATTTGTGTCATTTATTTATTTTATAATTACTTCCTTTTAATTTTCTCACATATTTACTAAAATTAATTTCATTTATTATTATTTTTTCTTTTAGACTGAAATGTAAAGAGGAGTCCATTTGAAATTTATACATTTTCTCCCCTTCTTAGTCAATGTCAGTTGATTTCTCCACATCAAAAGTTCAACAACCTGTCTTTACCTCGTGAACTAAACTGGCTTCACTACCAGCAATAGAGAGGCAACCTTCTACTATGTGATCTTTCCTGGGAAAAGGATTTCAGCGCAGAAATGCGTTGTATGACTGTATGACTTCATTTTCAATAAAAAATACTGTTTTAATGAAAGCTCTTATCTGCTTAAGTAAACGTATTGTTTCTAAAATGATACAGAAATAGTATTTCCTAATTTTAAAGAATTCAATTTTTGAGTCGATTTATTTTTTGTCAATTTTGGTCATTGAAGCGGTACCGGAGTATCAACAAAAACACTCTGCCGTCTTGTCCTGCAGGAGAAGATGCGATTGATGTAGTTAGTTCATTTTTTGTATCAATAAAAGCTGGTGCACATCTGAAGTTTAATCCCACGAATTTAAGTTCCGGAAAGTTCTTATAAATGTTTTCAAAACTACCTAAAACCGTTTTCTTTCAATGGACATTACAACTTTAATCTGAGGAAGGCTGCTTAACAATGCGTGAGATAAATCAAATAAACCCGGAACGTTCAAAGTGTATGACAATTCTATGTTTAACCGGACAAAAAAAACGGCGCACTAATGAGTCGTCATTTTGGTGTAATAGCAAGACCAAGGCTTGGAGACGGGAGATCGGTACCGGAGTCTCGGTTTCGCAATAACAGAAAATCGACGTCTCATTTCCTCGCTTTTTTTCTTCCCCGGTTCGGTCCAGGTTTTTTTCATGTGTCTTTTATATATAATTATCGGGCAACTTTTCTGCAGATTAAGTTGTTATGTTCTTCTGATCAGAAAATTGTATACAATCAAGAGTTTGGATTTTTTGGGATATTTGTATGCGTTTTCAGGGTGGCTTTAGTCAGGAAGAAGCTGAATCATCGAAGAATGTCCGGACACTGTGACCTTTATATAGAGAAGAACGAAATGACCCGAAATTTGGAGAAAACTTGCGTCTCCGGTTGTGATGATGTTTTAAACGGTGCATCACATGGCTTCCGCTCGTTTTCAAGTAAAAATAGGGCTGCAGTTTTAAGTTGTTTTTCACAGGTAGATTTTTTTAAAAAATCCAGGAATTATCTCCAATTTGGCAAAGAAAAAAACGGGGAAAATATGCACTGGCCAAGGAATTCTCCATTCAGATTTTTGACACGAAGTCTTCTTTTCCATCAACTGTCACATGATGAGACAACCTCAAAATGAGCGTTTGCCTCCCAGCTTTCTTAAAATCTAAATAACTTAACATCTTATGGTACTGGAACGGCTGACTTCGTACATACATTAATAAAATGGTGTCACAGGGACAAGCATTTTTCGGTAAAATGCCATGAAACGTCGCGTTGGGACGTTTTGTTTAATGTGCCACAAGAAAGTGGACGTCAGTCTACAGAAATTTCCTATAGAGCAACTGTTGCAGAATATGGCCGTAAAAGCGGATACCGAATTTTCAACACGAGTGTCTCCAGTCCTTTAAAACATAAACCAAGAGCAGGTTCGACAATTTTTTCGCCTGAAGAAGTGTAAATTTGTATGGTAATCTGGCAAGTATGTGCCATAAGTTAAAATCGAATTCTAAATAACTTTCTCTCGAATGCAATCGTCCTTTTTCCGTTGGCCTTCAGGGCCTGAAAACTGGTGTGTTCATATAAAGGTTGCATTATATTACCACCTCTTTAATGGTATTTTAGATACTTTAAGCTCAGTAACCTCATAGCTTTCATGTTTGTAACAAGTATTTTCAGGCGTTACATGTGATTACTTCGTCCCGTGGATGAGGGAAGCTTCGTCAATACGTTTTTCTCCTTTTGTTTGTAAATATGTAGCATACCTAAATGGCTTTAAATGTTTCATTTACAATGAAGGTCAATCTTAATGAAATTAGGCAGTAGATCTTGTAACGTGGTAGATGAAACCTCAACTGTTAAGAATATCAGTATTTATTGTACATAGCAAAAACTACACCACACGTGAAAATGAGATCAAGAAGAGAGGAATGGCCAAACTTAAGAGCCAACCAAAAAACAGTGGCTTTGATTTCTTATTCGCTCCTCTTAATTTTATATTAATTTTTCTAAACAAACGACAAAAGTTCGTTCCTTTTTTGTCCTGCATAGATAACGAAGTGTGCATTAAGTTACGTGAAATGTACGTTAGGGATCATGTTTATTGAAACAATGTTACAGTCAAACCCGATACACACTGTCTTTTTTATCATGAATACGTTGAAATGGTGTAATTTTGATTTTGATCAACCGGTCCAATTACCTATGTTACACTGGGAAATTGCTTTACCTCCTAAAACCCTTGTCTCTTACGGGCTAACTATTGAAAAGGATAGACAAACGTTAGACGAATGAGACACAGGGAAAACAAAGTGATCGTTTTGGTTGAAATCGGTGGTTTTAAAATTCAAAGGAGGCAAATGATTGACTAAATATGGGGTCTCTCGTGGATTGCCGTCAGTCAGTATATGACTTACCGACCTCCGTGCAACCACCCGCTTCCACAAATAGGGTCACTCCATTTTACCTTTGTCTTCGATTATTTTATCCATCAAATTCAATAATTTCAGCAATGTTCCAATTGCAATATCTGGGAATTCAAACACAAAATCTGTTTACCGACTGCATTCAATCGGACTACTTATTATGGATCGCTCCAATCTCCATAAACAAATTTCAGAAATATTATTTTTAAGTTTTTAATATTAAATTATTGTATTTCATTGAAAAAATATGATTAAAATTTGACATATTGAAATGTACACGAGTTTGGAAAAGAAAACAATGGATTTTTTAATAATGCATAATAATTCTTATATCGACGGTGAAACTACCAAACCACGTATCTCGGTTTGCGACGTCGCAGACTTCCTGTCATACTTTATTTTTTAAATGAAAAACTACTTAACGTCCAGTCTTGAAAATTTCTGTGATTTTTCCTCTTTGTGCGGAGAAAATTTCGTGAAAATTTTAAGAAATGATATTGATTTGGTCTACTTCAAAAAAATAAAATGTGAACGTAGATTTTTAAACACCGCAAACGAGATACGTGGTTTGGTAGTTTCACCGTCAATATGCACATTAGTGTTGAACTGGTACATCATATCTGAAATTACAGTTCTGAAAATTCCTACCCCACCTTGTTAGCATGAACAAATCCAATATCATCACATCATAATATTTTATGTAGCTTTATTTTTCTTGTCAAAAATACTTCGTATATTTATTTCATACAACATCGTTTGTTGAATGTGTTTTCTTCTTCAATTGTATTTTCTTTGTTTGTAACAAAGTACAAGATTGTCACCACAATTTGGATGTCTCTTTACCTGTCGAGGCAAGCAATATATTTTTATCACAATGACTTCA